ATGTTCCCCGAGACCATGGTCCCTACAGCCTTCTGCCCAGCAATTCAGTCCCTCAGGGAGCTTGAATGTGTCTATAGAGCTTCCATGACCTTTCCTTGTACTAGTTTTGCTGACTTCCCCAGTGCTGTGTACCATCTTACCCTTCACCAAAGTTACCACTTATCTATTGCCTATTTAGTTCCCCCCTCCCACCCCTCACATTCCTCGGAACCAACAAAGATTGTTTCTTTCTGTGTGTAAACTTTTACATGTGACTCCTCTGTATTTTGCTGTGTGCTTGGGTTGTAATAGAAAATAAAATGAACCTCTGCCAATAAGCATCTACCAACTATGGTCCATCTCTCTCAACAGCCTCATGTACATATGCTTATTCTTTATTTTGGAAATACTGATAGGGTCTAGCACAGTGCCTTCTCCTCAATAAATACTGTTGATTTAAAATGAGTGAATGATGACCCTCTGTTCTATTCCATTCAAGTCAATTTAGAAATTATTTATTTAGCATTTAGCGTCTTCTAGGTGGAGTCCCTGGGTAGTGTGAATGCTTAACACATTAAGCTGCTAACCAAAAGCCTTGAGTTTCAAGTTCACTCAGAGTTGCCTTAGAAGAAAGGCCTGGCAATCTACTTCCAAAAAATCAGCCATCGAAAACCCTGTGGAGCACAGTTCTACTCTGACACTCATGTGGTTGCCACGAGTCAGAATCAACCTGATGGCAACTGGTTTATCTTCTAGGCACCATGTTAAACTCTAGAGATTAAAAAACTAGACACTATCCCTGTCTATGATGAGCACATAGATTTTTAGAGTAATACCAACAGTAGAATTTTTGGGCACTGTGGAAAACCAATAGGGTTTTAGTCTCCCTAAAATCAGTTGCCTGCTCTGCCAATTTATAAGGCTGTCTTGTTTTTGCCACATCATATTCTCCACATGCATATTTCTAATAACCAGGAACAATTCTTAGATATTATGATTCCAAATATTTTTAGCACTGTGATATTACGTTTCAGTAATTCTTCTAGGACTCAATATATAGTTCATCTTTGAAAATTCCTTTCTCCACTGATTCTGCACCTGTATCTAGAGATTAATTGTGATGGGAACAAACACAACTTTGTTGGTAGATACTGCTTTACATTCATGACCACTAACCTCACTACAAGAGGAGCCCTGGTGGTGCAGTGGTTAAAGGGCTCAGCTGCTAACTGAAAGGTTGACAGTTTGAACCCACCAGCCCCTCCGTGGGAGAAAGATGTGGCAGTCTGCTTCCATAAAGATCTACTCTGTCCTATA